TCAGGTAACCCTGAGGACACAGACAAACCCTCAAGTGGCCTCAACAACTCTCTAAAAGAATCCAAATGACAAGCTGTCTGCAAGAATATACATCCTTCCATTCCCCATCATCCAGTCAGAACTGAAGAAGCTTCTTGGATGAGAAACGAAACTCTTCAAAGCCTCTTGAAAAAGCACTTTGGGGACAACCATGATCTGGATGACTGAAAATCTTCACAGACAAACTCAAAGTGGTAAACATATCTAATGCTCCTTCTTCCTCTTATTTTCTTCACAACAACCCTGTGAAGTGAGTTGGACTGAGAGAGTGTGACTGGCCCAAGATCACTCAGCTAGCTTTCATGGCTAAGGGCAGATTTGAACTCACAATTTTCCAATTTCTAGCTTGTTGCCCTAATCACTAGATCAAATTGGCTCTCTAGACCAAATTCTCTCTCTTATATTATCTCACTGAAGGCTAGAAAGCAATACCTTTTTCAATACTACTTGCTCACAGAAACAAAGTTTTCCTTCTTGGATCAAAACTATGTCTATCCATTGTTAAATGTCAACTTTCTTATTCATACTGATATGCTGATAAGATTATATGATGCTATATCACTTTTGTAAACTTTTATATTAGTTTTCATTTTCTACTTTGTTTCTCTTTTTAAATATTAGTTCATTGGTTTCACTCTACTTCTTCTGTTTATGGAAGAAATTAGGATTCAGGGGAAAAAAAACAATGGAAGATGGCTGAATTTATTTCTTGCTAATTCATCTGAACAATTAAGGGAAGATGGGGGGGGGGAGAGCAGAGTTCTTCCCCTTCTTAATCTATGGGACCATCTCATTTAAAAAATTCTCCACAAATCTGGATGCAGCTTTAAAACACAAACTTAGATATTTGATATTATCAGTTCTTAGAAAATTAAAGAAGAAAATCCACTACGCTTATATCAAGCTGTTGTGAAAATCCACTTACTAGTTAGTTTAATGTTTGCTTTGCAACAGCCAATTGAATAGCCAATGTAACCAAGGGATACTTTCTATTCATTAGCATTTTCTCATTTCCATAACTTAAAACAATAAATTGTACTTTTCACCTTTTCATCTGGCATTATTGTACTGTTGTAAAAGAAACAACAAATTACATCCTCATGCCAAAAACAGCACATCATTGTGAGCTGCCAAAAAGGCTGACTTATCCAAGCACTCGGTTGTATTTTACATTTTAAAAAGGCCATTGATCAAAAATTGATTTCCATAAAAAAAACTGAATCATTCTTCATCAGATTTGCCCTATTTTTACTTCAAGAAGCTTGTAACACATTAAACTGAGGGACTCAAAACTCTTCAGGCTGAATTACCTAGTTCAATTACATCAAACAGACAAGAGGATCTGATTAACTAGAATAGATGGATTTTCACTATAAAAATTTAAGTAACCACTGATAGAAAAAAGGAAATGACTGTTTGAATAGGTTACTTTTATTCATTCTGATAGTTTTCATGGAAATTCAACAGAATGTGTGTTTGTGTGCGTTGGTGTGGCTGAAACTATATCAGTGCTGGAAATGAAAAAGAGATGCTGAGCTTGTTAAATTTTATTCTTGGGAGTGATGTTTCTTTGAAGCTCACACTCTTTTCATCCAGATTGCAACCCTATAAAAATCTTATCTTGCCATACCTCTAAATCAGGAGACTTTTATTAAAACAATGTAAGATCTCAGTTCATTGCAACAAGGTGTTGCTGAAGTTAATCTCTTGTGAACTTTACTATTATTGCATGTTATGGTTCCACAATTTTATTGGCTGTTCCCATCAACTTTTTGAATGTAGTTGCTGGAGTACTTTTCAAAGCTGCTACTCTGTTGTATGAAATATGGGGTGGTGGTATAATCATAGGAACTATATTTAATTTATTTTGGTTTTGATCTCACCTTAAAAACCTCATTCCTTATTTAGAGTATGGTACCAGCGCAATGTTACAATTGCAAATCTGGTTCCCATCACATGAAAATAAGATTGCCTATCTCTACATATACATCTTAGGAGTATGAATTCATAGAGTTAATATTGAGAAACCCCAAATTCAAACCTGATCTTCTAATATCAACAGGCACATTTTTGCCTCATTTTGTACAAGTGTATTGGAAAATCCTTGTTCCACGGTGCTGCCTTGAATCATAAATGATCGGAAGACAAATGAGGGAAATTGCCCAAAATTGAACAGAGGAAATTCCATTCATGAAAAATGTCATCTCCCTACTTTTCAACAATCCCCTCTATTTCTGTCAGTCACTTCTACCACAGCCTGCTGTACTCATCAACAGTGTTCAGTGTTTAAGAATAGTTTGGTACTGTGGCTGCAATGCAAGGAAGAACACACAATAAATTATCTATTACCCAATTCCTTTAAACTGCATTTCTTTCAACCGCATTACGCACACATATTATCCTTTTTTCAACACTGAATATTGTTTGAATTGCAACACTCCTAAGATGAAAATGAAACGGTCTGCACATTGATAACTACTGATGATGATGATAATAAAACTTAGAGAAGACCAACAATCACTCAGATGTTGAGACTCTAGAAAGAGTGCAGAGAAGAACAACAAAGATAATCAGGGGACTGGTGGCTAAAACATGTAAGAACGGCTGCAGGTATTAGATATGTCCAGTTTAAAGAAAAGAAGGACGAGGGCTGACATAATAGCAGTGGTTCAATATCTCAGGGGTTGCCACAAAGAAGAGGGAGTCAAGCTGTTCTCCAAAGTACCTGAAGGCAGGGCAGGAAGTAATGGATGGAAACTAATCAAGGAGAGAAGCAATCTAGAACTAAGAAGTTTCCTGACAGTTAGAACAATTAATCAGTATAACAACTTGCCCCCAGAAGTTGTGAATGCTTCAACACTGGAAGTTTTTAAGAAGAGATTGGACATTTGTCTGAAATGGCATAGGGTTTCCTGTCTGAGCAGGGGGTTGGACTAGATGACCTCCAAGGTTCCTTCCAACTCCTTTATACTATTATTCTAGGAATACTGAGGAAATGGTGATTTTTGACATTTCATAAACTGACTTAATTTACAAAAAAACCATGTTCATTCATTTGAAGTAATATCCTGCAATATTAAGAATTATTTTTATTAGGTACTAAAAGTGAATGCCTTTCTGCCTTGTCCTCTTGCATGTTTTAAGTGACAAATTCTTAAAAGAACTTTGAAACTGCAGTCTAAAATGCCATTGTTTCAAGAGCTTTCTTTTATAGTCATATGTATAAAATAATACACCATTCATACTGTTTATTATTTGCACGAAGTGCAGAACAGCTACTAAAGGATTGGTTTATTCAGAGAAATTTCTTCTTTGTCCAGCATCCTGTGGCTGCTTGAATAAGCTTTCTGAGAGAGAATATTTTCACCATCTTGTTTCCATTCAGACTTATGACAGTACAGCAGTAAAGTATTAAGATTGGGGCAAGAAACATTTGACGGATCAGTTTCCATTGTCTTCTATAAAATAAATGTTCCATCTTGCATTCATTGGTGTTCCAAATTATCTTCTCAAAGCAGTGCGTTGCTCATTAATTAAAAAAATAAAGAGTCCTAGTAAGTGGGCCTAGCTGTGATCTGTTCTGAATTGTCTTTAGATTTGTGCCCACCAAAATGACGTTACACATTGTAATCTGTAAGATGCTATTCTAGAAAATTACAGCTTCTCAGAAATCATCTTCTTTTACGTCATAGAGAGGAAGTTACCATACCTATGGCAAAAAAAAAGAAAAGAAAAGAAAAGAAAGAAAGAAGCTGGAAAATAAGCACTTGGCTTTCCACGATGAAAAAGTTAAAGCATATGGAAGAAGCATGTATTAGAATCAAAACATCACATTTTGTTGTGCAGGTTGGGTCCAGATGTAATTCCAGATGTTAGCCCATTGGACTTACTTTACGCAAATAACACTAGAGTCCAAATCCATTTCTTGAAAATATGATTTCTCTGACCTGCTTTCTGTTATGCAGTTTTGCTTTATTTGTCTCATTTACATTAGCTGTTACATTCTTCTTAGCCTTGGGCTGAAGATGTGGAACCATCTAACAGGGGAAGCTGGTTGCTGTTGTTGTTGGATTTTGTTTTGTTTTGTTTCTGAGCTGCAGCACATAATTATCCACTTAGTTTTGGTTTGAAGGATAAAAGCTTAACAATATATATAGTTTTTTACAAAATACTTTCTTAAGAAAATAATTTTTGTAGCTTTTTTTTTTTGCATAATCATAACTTGGACACAATCTTGATCGCCGTCATGGTTTTCAAAACAAAGAGATTTAAGGACCTCAAATGTATGCCATCATCAGCAATTACAGTACCCAAATAAATACAGTCCACTGCCCATGCAATGAAATGAAAAAGTAAAATATAAAAATTTACCAATTGTCACCTAAATTTGCCCATAGATTATTGATAATAAAATCATCATTTCTTTTCAGTGGTTGGCATTATATATCAGTTTTAGAACATGCCCCAATAGCCTGAATCACCCACAAAGGTTAAACAAGAACTGCCAAGGTAGGCAACCTTGGCTCTTTTATGACTCATGGACTTCATCTCCCAGAATACCAGAGCCAGCCATGGTGGCTCAGGAATTCTGGGAGTTGAAGTCCACAAGTCATAGCTACCCCTGGGTTAGATTGACAAATGAAGCTAACTTGAAATGAAATCTGCTACATTATAGCCTCAGTTGGATGTGAACCCAGATAAAGCAGTTACTGTAGTTCTTAAGGCATCTCAAATATTAACGAAATAGCTGCTGACAGGTTGCAAAATGACAATTAGTGTGTAACTCTGAGAAAAGAGGAAATCCACATGCTACTTGGAGAGAGAGATTCTGCTTGAAGACACTGAATTTGACATTTTGTTCATTAGTTTCAGGAATCAGAAGAACTTCAATTGGAGCATGCATGGTCAACAACAGCAACTTGACAATTCTTGTGCTTTCAAATTAAATTACAGTCAAAATATTTTTTATGAGTTTTGAAAGGTTTATTTCACCTAACTTCGTGTGCTCTTGCATCTTTATTTTGCTATTCAGTATACAAGATTTAACCTTTCTTTCTTTTTTTTTTTTTTTAAAAAAAGAATGTTTCACAAAGGCACAGCATAAAGTTCTTACCAAACTTCCCTGAAAGACATTTATCTTGTTAATATTTTGCACAGTTCTGAAATGATTAAAAATATAGTAACAGTGGTTTTATCCATTTGGTAAACCACTCCTGCATGTATGTAAAGGCAGAAGAATAAAACCCAGTAATCTCAGGCAACACAGAGTTAAACCAGTTCTTCTATATGCAAACCAGAAGAGGCTTCACTTCAGAAGGCTACAGCTACAATTTTGCAGACAACTAAGATGGCCTCAAATCCCATTGACTTCCATGTGGCTTCCATGTTTTCAGACAAGAGTAGAGGACACTTTGCTAATGCAAAGTGCTAACTGTAGCCTCTTAAGGATGTTATACAAGATCCAAGAGGATGGCGTCATTGACCGTTTCATCCGTTTTCTACAAATGAACGAAGTGAGGCAAGCACGCACATATACAAAAATCAAAGGACTCGCACTGGAAATCTACCAGCACAACATCAATTTCTGCTAATTTTACTTTTTCAGTTTCTCCTGAGCTGGCTCTGGAAAGTTCCCCAACCATCCAGAGTAGATTTGGAGAATATATGAAGGGCTCTAAAAGGGAAAATAATTTGCCCTTCTTTCCTTTTCCTCCAGTCATCAATGGAAGGAAAGAACTGCTCTTTTCTCATTAGCTCTTAAAAAAAAAAAGTCAAGGTCTAAACAACCCTACTAGTGCTTGGCTAACATCTGTATAAATGAAGCCAAAAATTTACCTGGCTTAGGTGTCTGAATTGGGGTGCCCAGCATGATTAACATTTAGTCTTTGCTCACCCTAGTAGGAACAACTCATTTCTAGTTAGGATGTTGAGTGAGAATGTCTCTGCATCTATGAAGGTTATAGAGGGATAAGACCAACATTATCTATAAGTGTTCCACATTCTGGCTGTGGGATCATGGAGCCTTGTGGGTATGCTACATCTGTTACTAGACCCTGTCTTCTAATAGTGCTTTCTCCTATCCAAGGTTCCCACTCAGGAAAAATAAACAAATTAGGGTATGAGCCTCATCATTCCTCTCTGCTCCCTAAAAGGCTCAGTTGTTGCACTGTCTTCTGTTGTTCTTATCAAAGCTTCTGCCCAATCAGAGAAGTCTATTTGCACCTAATTTCTTTACTGACTACAAATCAACCACAAAAACTGCCATAACACCTTCAAAACATGTCCTGCAATATATATACACACTATATATATATATATAATTTGAAAATGTTGGCCCTCATATTTCTAGTAAATTTGAGTCCACTTTATTTAGAATATTGCAGATTGGTTTGTATCCATCTTTGTCAGACATAGATGTTGCACAGTCAATCCGAAAAATGCTTTGCATTTAGTGATATTTTTCAGGATTTAGATTGTGTTGGTTGGTTGCACTTAAGACAACAGAATATGATAAATACCGTATATACAAGTTCTGAAGCAACAAAATGACAACCCATTCATGATACAAACGGCTGGAAAAAAAGTACAGAACTTTTTTGATTCCCTTCATACAAAATAAATTGCCCAATTTGTCTACACAGTAGAAGTTGAAGAGGCAAAGTTTATCTATCTCCAGATATATTCATATGCTGAAAACATATATACAAGTACAGATCTAATTAGGGCATGATTGATCCCATTAAAATCTCAACCAGCATCTTTCTGAATGTTTTAAATCCAGAGGTTGAAGCTTAACATTGCAAAGGTTGGGTGTCACCAGTTCCTGTATACAAGCATTCACATGCGAAGATATGCTAATGCATGTGGACACAATAAACAAATTGAACTCATTGCATTTTTTCAAGAACAACCATTTTCCCCCAAAGTCACTGCTGCTCAGGGAGTCATCTATTTGAAATAATATATTGTGTGAGAACTGACAATCTTCTGTGATCACCCATACAGCTTTTCAGGTTTAAAAGCAACATCTTCCATCTCGCTAAAGCTTTTGCCATTTAAATGTTCACTGGTGCAGTCATGGTTAAAACTTTGGCCATCAGTGAAGGAGGAAGAAACTGTATAAGAAGCTGACCGGAGACCATCGGAGTGGGCAAAACTGTGTTCAAACTGGATCCTGTACTGATTCCAGTGCCTCCGTAGGACAGACTGGACCTATTGTAGAAAAAAAGAAAAAATAATAATTTAATAGAAGTTAAAGGGGGAAAAATGGGGGCTTGTTTTCTTCCTCTTCTGCTCTGGATCAACAATTGCATATTGTTGGTCAAGACTCAAGCCTACTGAGCTTTTTTCCCTTTCCAGTGAGATAGAAAGAACACAGCACTGAGCAACTAAGGAATATAAAAGAAAGAAGAGATAAGTCAAGGTATAAGGTATAAGGAGAAAAACATATACATGTTGCATTTCTAGAGGGTTCATTGGGTCATCTGAGTAATTTAACGCTATACAAATTGTGGCGTAAGCTTTCTTTAATAGCATTAATAACTATTAAATACTCATTGATATTTCTATTTCCACAGCACTGAGAACTGAATTCTGTAAGGTGGGTTACTCTCCTTGAGAACTTTATGGCACCAAATGTACCCCAAATACCATTAATTGAATTTTAGTTCATCCCAGCTCTTTCTGAAGTAACCAAAAAAGCCTTTGATTTAGGTGTTTACAGACACCTAAATGGGCATGCAATGACTGTCGTTTCAAATAAAAGGAAAATGTTACAAAAATATTTTCCAAAATAGTAGCTGCATTAACCTGTTACAAGAACAGCAAAGAATCTTCGGGCAGCACAAAAAGATTAACACACGTATTATAGAAGAAGCTTTTTGATCAAATATACTTGTTATAATTAGCCTTGAAATTGTTGGCCTGCAAGGAAGAATCTCTGGATGAAAGACTGTTTGGGAATTCATGTATATCTCTCTCTGAGTAACCATAAGGATGGAGAGATGTATGTACATAATAAATTTTCTGTAACACTACTGATCAATTTTAGATGCTCAGCAGCATGTGAGACAGTGTAATTTTTGTTGGCTTATTCCTGCAGGATTCTTCAGTTGACAAAACTGATTTATATTTCCATCAAGATGGTGGAAAAACTGTTTCCTGAGTCGAGTTCACCTTTTTTAAAAATATGTTGGATAATACAAATGAAGCCACATAAGGTCTCAATTTGTTTACCCATTTCTTTGGGAGGATGTTCTGTTTTGCAATAGTTTCCGTTCACACAATGTGGTAAGCCACCTGTGCAACAGGAAGTTTGATTTACTAGAGGCCTTGATGAAATGTGAATGGAATTCATCACCTCTAAGAACAGTTGATAGCTGAAGAGAAAGACTGCAGATCTGCTTTGTGAAAGATTAGGAGATGTTGAAGGGAATCTTGTGGCTAAAAATTATCAGCTCCTGATCAGTGTTTCCCATTCATGATAATTATTTGGAGAACAACAATTCTCTCTTATGAATCATAAAGATTTATATTTTGAACACCAGTAAACATGCTGTAAGGGTTATATTTGCAAATATAACTGCAAAATCAGCCATGTGTAGGTTCCATGGATAATTCTGGCTTAAATTTATTTATCTGTTTTGTTTTTACTTGCAAGCAGTGCTTTTTTCCTAAAAAAAAAAAAAAAAAAAGGTGCCGGAACTCACATACGTCATACAACCCGCCTTGCCTACCCTACAAGGTTCCATCCCAAAAAAGTGCCGGAACTCCGTTCTGGGCGTTCTATGAAAAAAAAAGCCCTGCTTGCAAGAAATTTATTTATTATATTTGGTGCTTATATTTTAGAAAGACATTTCCCCTTTCAGCTACAGATAAGAAATTATTCCAGTCAGAAAGTTCACTGTGACTTATTGAAAGGTATACTGCATTCTCTTTGAGCATTTTATAAGTGAAAATGACCAAAGCAGCAGTGTGTGTGTGTGTGTGGGGGGGGGAAGATGGTTAATAGATAATGGAAGACAATCTTCTTAAAATTACATGAAGGACGCAGGGTGATTTAATCCTGATCTGGAACCATCCATCTCTAGTTAGATTTAGAACATCTAGCACAGCTAGGTTTCAAACCAGCAATCCAACTCATTCATAATATATATATATATATATGAATTACTGTACCTCTCCATTAAAAAAACAGAAAATTGTTGCCACCAGCAAACCCTGTAGAATAAAACAAGAAATTATTACTTGCATTACATATGTTTGTATTTGATGAATGATATTATAACCCAAACGAGATATTCCCTCTGAAATCATTCCATGGCTATGCTTTTAGCAGATCCCTGAACTCTTAACTCATGCCACTCCAGAGGAACCTTCTCTCAAAAATACTTTGGAGAAAGAGTGACAGGAAGTTGGAAGTTAGCAGTGTTTACAAGTCATAAATATTATTTGATTCAATCTTCATTGATCCATCCTTGGTAGACCAACTTAAATAGGACTGAAACAAGTTGATTCTAAAATATCTTCTGATACCTTCCATGTACTAATTCTCTGTTGACTGCGGCTTTGAGGTCATTTGCTCTAATCTGAAAATTGTTTTTTCTCTTTCTAATTATGATTTCACTTGACTTTACATTGGACCTTGTGTGGCTATTCCATAGCCAAAAGCTATGGGCTAAGAAAACAGATCTCAGAAAGAGATCTGCCAAAGCAGTAACTACAAAGTTTGGAAGGAACTCGTTCTTGTGCATGATTGTAAAAGTGCTGTGTATTGGAAATTGCTGGCTACGAAAAAAAGCACTTTTACTCCCTTTCCTATCTTTAGAAAAAACGATCCTGAAGGCAGAAATCATGAAGGACTTGTTCCCCCTCCTCTCATTCTTGCAATGTCATTCAGTTCTTAACATGACAAATCTGAGCAAAATACTGTAATATATATATATATATATATGTATGTATGTATGTATGTATGTATGTATGTATGTATGTATGTATTCAAGACTCCCAACTGCTGCTTGAATAAGAAATCCGTTCAATTACTCGCTTTGTTCAGATTCCAAGCACTATAAATTTCCAACATTTCTGAATCCTTGATACCTGGTAGTGCATCAGGATGTGTGTCACATAGCTGAAAATCTCTATAGCGACACGGCCTTGCGGCTGCCATGGGACCAGCACAAATTCAATGCCGAGTAGGGGCACCAGTATGAGGGTGGCTCTGACTGCCTTCATGTAGAGATTGGATTCCGCCTGATGGGTGACTTTTAACTTTGTGATTAGAACACGGACAATATTCAACAGGAAAAAGAGATTCACCTGCAAGGGAAAGAAGAGCATTCTGCGAATGTTTATGATTTTCTTTTACAGATCTTGTGTTGCACGTCCAAAGTGAAATCCCAAAAGTATTTTAGTTGTGATGGGGAGAGAGTGGTTGAAATGACAGGAATAGGACACCCAAATTCATTGTGAACCCCCCCCCCAAAAGAATGCAAGTGTTCAAAATAGCTTGTTACAATACATTTGGCATTAACCATACTGTATGCTTTAAAGACCCTTTTATTGAAGAAGAGGATAAGTGGCTGTTTGCATTGTTTTTATTATATTTTGCAAGATAACAACAACTGTAAATAATGAAAATTCAGAAAAGAGCTCTGGAACATCTCTGGATAGACCAGACCCATCCTGTCAAAAACCAAAATCAACCAAGGAGAGGCAAAAAGAAAAGCTCACAATCTTTCTGATAATATTGCCAGGCTACTTTATTAGATTATTCTTATCACGATTAATAAATTTCATATGGCTTATCACAAAAGAATGTTATTCTGAAGTAGGACATAACCAATTAAACGTTGTCCACAACATACATAGAATAATTGCAGAACAGATAACGCTCCAATCTTCACCCCTCAATATTGTCATTCTTCCCAGAGGTCTTGACCCCTTTAGTCCTGATAGATAACTTTCCTTCTCCCTGGAAACAGGCGATAGAGCATAAGCTGGCCTTCTATGGACTTTCCCCATTGTTTTTAATATCCCGAGGCTACGATCAAGCCAAGCAAGTGATTACCAATAGAATAAGAGACATAGCGTTCCAGCCAGAACTTAACAGGATATCTCTCCACAGCAGAAATCGAATTAAATGGGGTGTGTGGGAACCAGCAAGGTATCTGAAAGTCCTGACTCTTCCCTAAGAGTAGAATACTATTTTCTAGAGCCAGACTTAATATCCTCCCCTTAGCACTCCTGCAGGGCAGGTATGATAAAACCCCAATAGCTGAGCGAATGTGTACATGTGACAATAGGGAAGCTGAAGATGTCTCACAGGTCCTATTGAGCTGCAAGTTCTTCTACAGGGACATCAGATCAACATACATTCTCCCTCTACGAGAGACATTTCTAGGGAGATCTGACAATTTCTACGTGAACCATCTCCTTCAGGATTCAAATCTAGCCACCACTCGTGAAATAGCAAAAATTTGTGCTGCTGCAATGATACTAAGGAAAAACACTTAAAGAACAACAGACCCTTACTCCTATTATTACTTTGCTTAGTTACTTTCCAATAATTTTCAGAGAATGTTTATTTTAGTGTTTAATTTTTGTGCTGGTCTGTGGCCGTAATAAAGATTGATTCTGATTCAATATTTTCAGGCAAACTGGTCAAATATTTTGGAATTGTTTTGGATCTTTTCATATATTGTGCTAATTCCTCTATTTTTCCTGTCACTCCTGTTTTTAAATTATGCATTAAACTGATGTTAGTAATTGTCCTGATCATTTAAAGCACAGGGGCTAGTATTATATAAAGGCATCAAACTTGACATTTGGACTTTTTGCTTTTGTTATTATGTTGCTAGAGTTATTGTTCTTTCATTTTTTTCTGTATTTAAAAAAGAAAATCAGAGGAAAATACACACACACATACACAGTCCTCAAGTTACAACAGCTCTTTTAGTGACCGTTCAAAGCACTGAAAAAAGTGAGTTATGATCGTTTTTCTCATGACCGTTGGAGCATCCCTATGGTTACGTGATCAAAATTCGGACACTTAGCAACTGGTTCATATTTATGACGGTTGCAAATGCCCAGTGTCATGTGATCGTCTTTTGCGACCTTGACAGGCAAAGTCAATGGGGAAGCCAGATTCATTTAACAACTATGTTCCTCACTTAACAATTGCAGTGATTCATTTAACAACCGTGGCAAGAAAGGTTGCAAAATGAGGCAAAATTCACTTAACAAATGTCCCACTTAGGAACAGAAATTTTGGGCTCAATGGTGGTCGCAAGTCAAGGACTACCTGATATATATCATTTTGACAGGGACTGGATGTATACGTCATCCCTAAGAAAATAAAGTATCGGTCATCAGAAATTTATACAAGGGCAGCTACTGAGCACGAGTCATGATGGCCAGTTCTTCAGCTCCTTTTGGTCCTACATCAAATGAACCATCTGTACAGTATAAGTTTCATTTTCTATATAAATGATGTAAGGATCTATTTTTGAGAAGCATGCTCTTTCTTGACATTTTATAACTAGAATTCCCCACTGTCCACTCCAAATATGGAATAGTCCTAAGAGACATGAATTTCATCAGAATTTGAGCCTTTTGACTCACTGCTGTAGCATGAAGCTATTTTAAGAACAGTCTCCAGGAAAATAGAATAAGAAGCTTATACCTCCCAAAGAAAAGCAATTCCAATTCTCAAAATTGAGTTGAAGGAGGCTCCTACTGTGTAACGGTACCTGATGATTCTTGTCTCTCAGGAGACAATAGGACAATAGAATTGTCTCCTAGGGGACAATAGGAGACAATTCTGGTGTTTGCATGAAAAGCTTAATCTCACTTGTGAACATGACTGCACACATCATCCTGGCTTCTCTCCTCTTCAGCCTCCACACATTCAATGAGGAGGACATTTATTTTCTGTGCAAAAATAAAATAAGGAGGCTGATTCTTTTTGATAACTAATTGCATCAAGCCAATGCAATTACAGTCACCCCCACTTTCAGATTCAGTGGAGGCTGAATAGAAGCTGGGGTGGGATTAAGTTAATGATCCTGGTCTCCTTTTGAGTTTTGCGTTTTCTGCTGATTTGAGCTCTCTCCTGGAGCCAGGAGGTAGACTATCAAAAGACCACAACAACAACAGCCAATGTCCTCATCTGTGATCATCATTCGTTTCTGTGAGTATCGGCCACACCAAACTGTGACCAATCATTAATCATTCAAACTCCAGTTCCTCAGATATTCGCCAGGTTCTCTATCGATCATCAGCTAAGAGGTAGATGATTGTAATCCAATGCTTTCTTTGGAAATGAAATTGTCTGTCAGGAAAAAAAAATAGAGGGAAACTGGGATTGTAGAAAACATTCTGGGGAGGAAATGGCAAGGTACAAGTTGGCTAATTTGGCTCCTGATGAATGAGGACTTCGTGACTAATCAGTAGTGGAATAGGTGCATCTCCCCTAAACTAGCCATTTCATAAGAATCCTCATTACATTAAAATCCCAATGATGCAAGCAAAACAGAAACCCTGGTCTACTAGTATAACCTTTTACATTGATTCTGCAATCCTGGAACGAATTCCATTAAATATAATGGAACTTACAGTGCATGTGTTACCACTCATTTGAAAGTAGATCTGTCAATGCTTGACGTCCTTTAATCATGTTCATTGCCCTTTTCCATACATTTTCCAATATGGTAATATACCTGTTCAGCAGGTGACCAGAATCAGAGGAAGTCTTCAAGAACACAGCTGTGTCAATTTATATATGCAGTTTATCGCTACTCATTTATGATAATTTCTTGGATGCTTTTATACCACAGGAAGCCAAAATGACATCCAATATTCAGTATTAAAACCAGTCATTATGCAACAAGTGGTTTTAGTTTCAGCCTCTTTCCTAGTGAACCCAAGCAACAGCTGAGGCCAGGATCTGATTAGGAAAGGGCTTCTTTCCCAAACATGTGAAGGGGTAGAAGTCTCAAAAGGCACTTGGATGACTGTCCTGACTTCAGGAAAAACTTTTTTCAGAAGACAAGCAGTTACTAGAAAGGAGGGTGAGAACGACTTGTTCAAGCTTATGAGAAAATTGTTGATGGGACTTTGGCACACGTCTTGTGAATGCCACTCCTCAACAAGTTCCAGCCAAGACCTTTGCTATTGTATCTGCAGTGTCTGGTGCATGAGCCAAGATCACTTTTTCCATTTCTCCAAAGTTTTCTTCTTCATCTGGGATATCTCTTTTTTTATATATATAATATTTCATTTTCTAGGGCTTTGGCAAGTGTTTGGAAGGTTATGGTGTTACAATGGCTAAGGATGGGGCTGCCCCTCCTGTTTTCCATTACAGTGCTCTCTATCACTCTGCAGTTCTCCCCAAACTGTCTTTGCTTCCTGCTTTGAAAAAAAAACCTCACAAAGCAGATCCCTCAGGATCCCCTTGCTGGGGATGGAACTGAAAAAGTGGAAAGCTGGGGGGTGGGGGAGGGGCTGCAGAGTGGTGGAGAGATACTTTTACAATGGAAGTTGTAAGGCAAGGGTGTCAAACTGCTGGCCCACTGGCTGGTTTCATCATACCGAAGCTGTGCCCACCCCATTGCTGGCAATGCAAAAAGAATTGCAATACGTCGTGACACGTCATATGACATGGCGAGTTCGACACCCGTTTTGTAAGGCATGTACAATGAAAAATAGGCCAGGATAAAAACAAGAACTTTACCTCCCCAACTCCCACCACTTTGCTTTTGCAAGCAAGGCTGGGGCGGGGGGGGGGACCTGAACATCTGTTGAGCATGAATATAAATAGTAACCATAGAACCCTTAAGCATCAGAGTGCTGCTATTGCATAAAGCAATCAGCCTGCCAGGAGGCGAAGGAGACTGGAGGGAGTAGCCCTGCTCAGCAGGTACAATTATCAGACTTATCCTGCTCCATGCTAACATCACTCTGTCCCAGGGGCCCAATAGTACAGATACACAACTCTTTGGATTCCAGCCAATGAAACAGACTATCACAGCACTGACATCAAACACTGACGCATGCAACTTCATAAGACACTGTGACCATGTTTGATGTACTTGTTGCTAAGGAGAATAGGACAAGAAAATCCTGCTGATGACTTAGTTTCGTAACGAAACCTTCAGAAATTATATTAAAACAACCCTGGCGAACAAACCCCAAGCAAAATTTAAAACCCGAGCTGCAAGTATTTTCTATTATTTCAACTTGTTGTTTAGTTTACTTCCATTTAAATAAAAGATTGGCAGTCCTTACAGATTGAGAAAACATAAAAACCAAGGAAGTTCTTAAAATAAAATAATAAAAAAAAGATTGTCTTTAAAAGTTCATACCAAAAGAGCAACGCAAATAGGACCATGGACGATGTACAGCAGATGAGTCTCTGAACTGATCCAGCAGCTACGGAATTTAAAAAAAAAAAAAAAGTTAAAGAAGAATAATAATTGTGTCCTCTTTCTCGTAAGAAACTTTTTTTTTAAAATGAAAACTCTTTCAAAGGCAGGAGATGACTTACTTGTCATCGAAATATATGCTTCTGGCCACAGCATGTATGCAGGAAGGTATCAACGGGAAGCCTGTGAACAACAAATGATAGGTTTCTTACTGAGACATTTCAACCTTGGGAGTGCAGAAGCAAGAGGTGGTGTGGCCTTTGCCAGGATTCTCACAAGGACCACTAGGAAATATGACTCTTTCCCCCCAGTAGATGGAAGACCAGGCACTTAGAGAGAGGGTCTTCAGCTGACTGGCAGCAGATGGCAACATGATGGAAGAATCTTCCCTTCTGTAAGGGAAGACTCCTCAGATCCAATGGAAGGAAGGGCCTTTTCAAGGCCTCATCTATCTCCCTCAATCTCCCATTGCCTAGGCCCCCAATTTTCCTTCCCTTATGGCAGAATTTCCCAACTTTTCTGGCTTTGTAGACTGGTGGGGTGGGGTGAGGAGAAGGAATGGAATTGTGTGCATGGCGGAAAGTGCACATGCAAATGTAGCATAAGCACACATGCTCTCCCGGCTGCTTGCGCAAGTGGGGATGTGCACGCACACGCATTCACCTGCCACTTCCATGGCCTGGTTCTGAATGGCTCAAGGCCCAATAATGGGCCATAGCCTGGGTTTGGGGACCCCTGTCTTATGGGACTAATTGCTTTTGACTAAAAACTCATGTAAAAATATAATAAAATAAATATATAATCTAGTATTGCTTCCGTATTCACTCAACCACTCTTTTTCAAATATATTAACCATTACATATCTTCAGAACAATAACATTGACAAGGCTGGCTTTGCTTCAGCCATCTCGTCATGCAGCTTCCTTCATTCTGGATACCTAGCTATTGGCATACCCATGGAGAGCAACAGTCAGTGTAACCCAATTTAAGCAACAACTAAAGGAACAGTTTTCAGCAGGAAAATAAAAAGAAGCATGTAGGTTTTCACACTTAATATATCAAAAACAAATCAAGAGAAAAAAGTAGGGAGTGAGGGAGATTCTATTAATCTTTAAGGACAGCAAGGTCCCCTGGATAACATTAGCATGTTCCCTTTCTCCCAGTCCCAAGGATCACAACACAGCACCATAATCACATACTGTACATTGTATTCATTCTGAGATTCAGATGCAAACCTTAATAGGAGATTCAGATGCAAACCATAATGTACACTTTGGAAGCAGAAGATCTCAAGTTCATATCTTAGTTTAAAAGGTTCAGAGATTGGGAAAAATTCCAGCCAACACTCATACATGGCTGCAGATTTTTACGTTCCTACCCCATTGTTACAATACAAGCATTAGAGCCAATCCTAAGGTAGATGAAATTAACTGGCAATGGGGCAAAGATGAAAACTGCCATTCTTGGAAATGCTTCCTTTGACCTACATTGTCAGCTATGGTACAAAAACAGGGTCATTATTGTGAGATTAGTGCCCATTTCAACAGGTACTGAAAATGATCTAGAAAAAGAACCATCTAACAAGATAGGCTAACATATGTTGCAATAAATCTGTTCAGCTTTAAGGGGTTATATAATTATTGTGGGCTTTATTTTTCACCTGTTCTTCTGAATTTTGGACACTTCCTTATCACTTATTTCTACAGTAGCATCTTCTGGCTACAATAGAAATGAAGTGAAGATAAGACTACTTTTCTACATTTTCAAAATAAGATCAATATTGTATTAGTATACAATTTGATTTTTAAACAGTGAATTGACCATGGAGCATTCAGAAGCATATTGCCTAATCATACTTTCCCACTAATGCAGTGGTTCTCAACCTTTTTAATGCCACGACCCCCAACCAGTCGTCGAGGACTACTCAACCCGTTGTAAGTCGAAGACTACTCAACTGGTGTAGCACTGTTTGCAGAATGGGACTTTTGGCGGGCTCAGCAGGGCAGAGACAGCCTGGACAATTCCTATTGGCTTTTGAAAGCCAATAGAATTAGACTCTATTCAAGAGAGTCTATTCTATTGGCTTTCAAAAGCCAATAGAATAAAAGGGAGTAGCACAGCTAAGGAAAAGGGGAAAAAAATGGCGGACTGCGTTGTTTGGCGTCCCCCGTGAAATGGTCGTTCGACCCCAAATGGGGTCCCGACCCACAGGTTGAGAACCACTGCACTAATGCAAGGGCATCCAGAAGGCTGAAAACTGAAATATATCTATAATCAGCCCAAACTTTATTTATTCCATCAATTTATATAACTGTCCCTCTCTGTGAGTCTGGGTATTGGACAATGATAAAAGTAAAACAAATACATATGCAAAAATTAAAATACACCGCAGTCAGGAAAGCCAATAATCAACCACATAGCCAAGAGACAGGTCCCTTCACATACTTAGATTCACAGGTCTGAGCCAGGTTTTTAGGGTCTTATGAAAGGTCAGCAAGATTGGGGCCAACCTAATCTCCAGGGAAAGAATGTGCCAAAAGATGGGTGCAATGGCAGCAAATGCTCATCTTCTAAATCCTGTGAACCTGCATTTCTTAGCCTTAGCAGGACCCATGGCATGCCATCCCGCTGGACAGATGGGACATGTAGAAACAACTGGAAAAGATGGTCCTTTAAGTAACCTGGCCCCAAGCTTTAAAGATAGAAACCCTCAGCAGCACACTGGCAACCAACGCAGCTCACAAAGTAAAGGTGTTAAATACATCAATTAATCTTGCCGTTAATTGTATTATGCACCAAGTGAAACTTCTGAATGTTCTTTAAGGGCAGCCCCGTGTAAGAGCTCATTGTAGTAGTCCTGATGGGAAGCCATGATGGCATGACTAACCCGTGAGTAAGGCTCCTCTTCAAGCAGGAACTGTGAGTTCAGGAGGATCTCCATATTGTATATTCCATCCAGAATCAAATATGAAAGATTCCCAGCACCAGGAGGACCGAACACCCAAAACGTCTCAGTCTTGCTTGAGTTGAGCCAAAGCCTATTCCACCCCATCCAGGCCTCCACAGCCTCTGGGCACTGGAACAGGATGTCCATGACATTATTCAAAAAGTATTATGATACTTGGGAGAGTATCATCGGCATACTGGTGATACAACCCCAAACCTTTGCATAACTCACTGAGAGTTTAACATGTAGATATTAAACAGGAAGAGAAAACTGAGCTCCGCAATACCCCACATTGTAGTGGGTGTGGATTAGATCTCTCCTCCCCCCCTCCCCCGGCATGGCAACAACTATTGGAATCAGATCCAGAGGAAGGAGATGTTGCATACTACAAAGCTACCTTAGTATCTCCCTCAGATCTAAATCCCAACCGAAAGAGATCCAGATAATCCTTTTTTTTTAGAGTCCTCTGAAGCTGCCTTATGATTGTCTTCTCTAGAATCTTCTCTAAATAGGGAAGATTGGACAATGGATGGAAATTACACAGTTGGGTCAGGTGATGGCCACTTGAAGAGGCAGTCACCATGACCTTTTAAAAAGCTGGTGGGACTAACCCCTCCTTCAAGGAGGAATTGTCCACCCCCCAAACCCCTATCACAAATCCTCCCCCAGGTGCCTTACCCAACTGTATCAGGGGTACGCAAAGATCTTTTTTGCTATTGTTCAGGCATGGTTATTCAGAGCTTTTCATATATGGACAATTTTTATTTTTTTTTTAAAAAAATACAATTTAAGATCACATTAGTATTGTAAACATTTGAGTTTGTTCCATGAGCCTGATTAGAAATCATTTGCTTAGAAAGGGCCTTTGTCATGAAAGCTAAAAAGCTATTTCTGTTTAGGAAATGAAAGGCTGTTGTTCATTAAGGTTCCCATGATCCTGCAACTAATTCTAACATTTAACAAACCTCAGTTGACTAAAGAAGCTTGTTTTAGTTACTTTGCCATTAAGATGTAATTTTAGCCAGATGTTAAAGCCCATCACGCCTTTAATCCATTCATAAGCACATGAATTCTCCAAGTTTTCAGAGGGAGGCCAGTAAATTCATGCAGTCAGACAAACTTTTTAAGTGCTTTGTTGGAACCCGGCCCATGAAAATTGACAACAAACGTCTTTCCCCTTACCCTTTTCAGCCCAGCTTCATCAGAAGAGAAAGCAAGAAAGCACTGGCTTGAGACCAGATTTTGCTACCCAACTGATGTGGCAAGGGAACTTCGAGTATTACATCAATAAGACATCTCCACTCTTGATGTAATACTGGCAGTAGAGAAATTCCCATAGACATTAGACACGTATACATACTTCAGGTTGGATGTCAGTTTACTCTGACTCATGTCAGTAGAAATTACAGTCAAGCTGATTCAAAACCATTCAACCAATCCCCTTAGTCATTTATCATCATTTATACTCATGTTTTAATTATGTATATTTTAACTATGCCTATTTAATTATGTTGTCTTTTTGGATGAAAACGTAGGTATGAATCAACTCAGCCAATAAATATTTAAAATGTCCACAATAATATTTTGGAATACACAGTTTTAAATTCTGATTTCTGATATTTTCCAACTCCGAATGGCTTCATCACTCTAATCTCGTGATGAGAGTAGATTGCAGGATGTGTATACAGGAACTTATTACCTGTCAGTTCTTGGCCAAACTTGTGATACAACAGCATCATGAGACTAGGAGTGCACGGTGATAAAAACAGCAGGTATGGTTTCTTGGAGGCAACCACCGATGTTCTCAAAATGCTGTCAAAGCCTTATTTGAATTAAGCAGAAGTGCAATGTCTAGAATTCCCCACCTCAATAGCTACTGCAGAATATTCTGGGAGATGATATCCATACATCTGAAGGATACTCAATTTGGGGGGAAGACCAATTTTCTAAAGAAATGTCTCTTCTAGTGGCTGATCTTACCTCTATATCTTCTATATATACATTAACGTGGGGTAAAAATAATCAAGAAATTTTAAGAATTGGTTTGGAATGATATAAATCTGTATTTGGATACTTTTACAATACCAGACATAGTAAGTTTAACTTATTTATATTTGCATTAATATTTATATTCATAAATGGCTGGTTTGTTTATAATTTATTGTACCCCAGTTACCACTAATTAATAAAATGACCCATAGAGAATTAGAATCAACCTTGACAATAAATATGCTTTAATATAGAACAACTTATTATTGTAATGCTGGCATTTGACACTATAAATCCAACTTGATTTAAGCCTTGATTCATCTAATTAAAGTGACATTAAAATGTCTCTGTACATGGGTCTCCATAAATTAAAGTTCTCAGATCCACGTTTAATTATGTTAATGGTTCTTAAAATAAGCATGTGTTATGAAAGAATAAAAATTGATTCCAGAAGCTACATAGCGTCCAATACCCTTGATTTAAACAGGCTCAAATCTAAATTACTCATTTTAAAAGAATAAAAGCTTACCAATCATAATAACCCTGCATAAGGTAGGGCTGTATTTATTAGAATACTTTTGTCTGTAATGAAGATGGTTATTAGGAGGCTCCAGTATCAGGAAAAAAACTAAGCATCCTCTCCAAACCCCAGAAATTATTTCTAGTCTTTCTCTCCTTGACAGGAGACCAGGAGAGGATAGGACTGTGAAATATTGAAGCTTCTCCTGTTCCCTCACGATGCCAGAAGTGCAGAGATCACCTCTTACATGAACCTATTTGATATTTGCATATCATTTTGGCTAAATCTAGAAATTATTCCTAAATGTCTATAATATTTGCTGATTAATCCCTATTTCTGCTTTTCTAAAGAAGTGTTTTCTGTTGGAAAGAGGCTTTCCGTGACTATGAGAGAGATGGAGGAGTGAGAGACGGCATAGGGTAGAATACACAACACATTCAAAGCCTAAGATGCAAAACTGAACTTGAAATAGCATCTTTAGTCAGCCAAAGTGATGGACCACAGACGCATTAGCAACAAATAAACAATCGCAAACACAATCATGGGCTTTGGGGCAGGAGGTGCACTTAGATCACGGCATGATGCAAGACATCCAGGGCCAGAAAGGGTTCCTCCCCTTTGGAATTTAATGAGAGAATAAAACAAATCAACGCCTATTGGCCCATTAAAGGGGGAAAAAACCTTAGGTTTTTCAAGAGACGTGGCTTCTTTTTACTCTGCGAACAAAAGAGGTCAAAGGAACCGCTGGAAAAATAAATGGTGGGCTTATCCCCCACTGTAGGAACTGTAATATTTTTTTTCAACCCTTAATGTTGCCTGTATAAACACTCCTAAGATGGGAAACAATGAATAATTATGCCCCCATGCCCTTTCCTAATAGAAGACTCCTTTTTCTAAATCAAAGAAGTCATTTCCTGCCCCAACACATTCCCCATTTAGCTAAGATAAGATTTATGAGTCAGTAATATACACTTAAAAGCCATGAGTGATATATTTCCAGTGTGGGAAGTGATATCTAATGTAAAATGATATTTAGCATCTTTTGGTTGTGTGAACGAAGCAATTGAGTTTACAAATTACTGCTGGGTTTCCTTTCAACGATATTAAAATTCCCCTTGAATTAAAACTACACTATGAGTGAGCCCAGAAAGTGATATTAATATACTTAGGAAGGGGGAGGGGGAGAAGAAAAATAGCCTACCCCATCCAAGGAGGTAATACCAAAGTAAATGCTGCTTTTCTGCAAATACAGCCACCACAATCAGAGTGTGCAAGTAAATGCCTTCACAGAGCATCCAGAAGTAATTGCAAACCATTAAGTAAAAGTGAATGAATTGTGCCACTTTGCATACAACCTATGGGAGAAAAGATCAATATAATTATAGATATTCTTGTAATATGCAAATGATAAAACCAACTTAACTTGTATTGCACTAGCAACAATGGAAACACAAAGAGAAAACAAAGGTAATTCTCTCTGCTTCAAGATGCTATGTTGAGATCACACACCTTCTGGGGAAGAACTTGGAAGATCTTCTTAGAATCTCAAAAAGATCTATTTCTTATCTATCCATAGGAATAAAGAATGTGGGCATTAATTTCCAGGACCTTGGAATCTATATATTTAGAACTTGATTTGCATCAGCAAGTGATAATACTTGGCTGATCTTATCTGGGCTTAAGAGACAGTTCTCATTGTATCTAGATGGTAGAGTTACCAGGGATATCAAGATAACAAAACATACTCTGGAAAAAGGCAGTGACTAATCATGGTATCTTTTGCCAATGTCTCTGCAAGCTCAGGTCACTAAGAGTCAAGCTTAATTTGAAGGAGACCTGTTTCTTCATGGCTCTGTTTTCCTGCCATTGCTTTGTACCATTTTTATTACTAAACTTAGTTACATCATTAATCTTATCCTTGGGATTATAGGAAGCTTCTACCATGAAAGACCACTGGTTTATTTAGCTCAGTATTATCTACCTAGGAGAGGCTGAGCAACATTTCTCCACAATTAAGAATTCAATAAAAAGTGGACCCTATGGTTTCTCAGAACCTTATTTTTTTCGTTACTTTAAGTCTAAAGAGATAGGCAATTACATAAATTGAATCAAAGGATCAATCTCAAACTGTGTTCAAACAGTCTCTCTGATGAAGTAGCTACTCCAAAGTTTTTATTAAAAAAAAACCCTCAAAAATTCAGTGTAACAAAACAGTAAAATTCATGGGAGGCAGGCAGTACATGAAATCTTCAGTACATCAAATCTTCAATTTGATTCACAGTCTGGGACTGGTAAAAACTTATTGGTACAACTATTGATTTCTTCCTCCACAATTGCTCAACTTCAATTTGCAGATCATGGTATTTTGTTATTTTTTTTTCTAGTTGTTTCTCTTCAATTTGTGCATTACCTGCTGTTATTGTTGTTGTTGTTATTATTTCTTATAGTTTAAGAGTTTAAATTAATTATTGCATTAATTTAAACTCTTGCGCACGAATAAACAATAGACCTATCACTGTCAATCACTCTTAGAAACGGAAAGCCACCTGAACCTTCAAACTATCAGTGAAATAACTCTATCATTATCAACAGATATGTTCCAAATTCCATTTCTAAGACTGCTTCTTTCAAACCGCTATAACAAGATGCTTATTTCCTTATGTTGAGAGTCTACAAATGCCACTAGGCAACTATTCTGTCCAGAAGTTAATCAGGTATGGGTATTCATGGGTATAGTTAGCAACAATTTCTACCACTCTAATCATGAGATTAAGAATAGTTTGGTTAAAGGTTAAAAGACTGGCTACAAAAACAGAAGAGTGTGAGTTAAAGTCCTATCTTAGACATGGAGCTGGCTGGGTGACTTTAAGTAAGTCTCAATCTTTCTTTTTCTCAACCTTGGGAAGAAAACAAGGGCAAACCATTTCTGAAAAATATTGCCCCCCAAAAGTAGCATGGACATATCCAGCTGAAAGGATTCAAGATATATATCTCTATTTCTCTATATATCTATATCCATATCTATCTATCTATCTATCTATAAATATATATATATATATATATATATATATATATATATATATATATATATAGATAGATAGATAGATAGATAGATAGATAGATAGATAGATAGATAGATAGATAGATAGATAGACAGACAGACAGATAGATACAGTAGAATGCTACTGTATAGATTACTATTACGATTTTTTTTCTTCTGTTCAATTGTGTCTGATTCTTGGAGATTGCCTGGACAAGTCCCTGCAGTTTCCTTGGCAAGGTTTTTCAGAAGAGGTTTGCCATTGCTTCTTTCCTAGAACTATGAGAAAGTGACTGGCCCAAGATCACCCAATTGGCTCTGTTTCTAATGTGGGACTACAATTCACAATCTTCAGATTTCTAGGCTGATGCCTTAACCACTACACCACATTGGCTTTTTTTTTAATCAAAAGGTACTGTACACATAAATATATAACACAGAATAATCAGGATTATATTCGGGGAGCATATGAGGCTTCCTATAAACACTGCTCCTCTTTCATATTATTTCACTGATTATTATAATTGCTCAATTAGCTCAAGCTATGCATATTTACACAGAGTGAAGTTCCCCTGAGTTTAGCAGATCATATTGCCAGATATTTTATGAAGCAGCAAAAATACTAATGTGGTAGTCACTTACTGGGTTAGTTGCAGCCATTGCTTGGTTATTGGCAGCTCCTCTTAGAACAATAATTGTTACAATAGAGTTGCAAACAAAAGAGAAAAAGAGATTCTTATGCAATGTGATCCTTTGGCAACTGAGGCTCCTGAAAGAAAATGAGCAAGAGAAAATTAGGGGAGAGGGGCAGAGATTTTTTTTCCCTATTTCTTTCCTTTGCACAAAACAGTTTCTTGTTAGCAATTTAATTGCTAAATTGAAAGTTGTTTTGTAGTTCAAAAACATTTGACCCTCTGAAAGAGCCAGAAGAGTCTACAGTAACCTAACTGACCCTCTGAACTGAACACAATAACTTGCCCTCAGTGCTCCGTCTTGTGTAATAAAATATTCTACAAATGTTCCCTCTATATCAGGGGTGTCAAATTCAATTTCATTGAGGGCCGCATCAGCATTGTGGTTGTCCTCGGGGGGGGGGGGTAAGTGTGGCCAGGGTGGGCATGGCCTATTGGGTGGGCATGGCCAGCTCTATATTGTTCGTGTCAAGGGTGCCTATGGGGGCCTGGGCAGGAGTGGGACAGATCTGAGGGTCTCTGGCAGAAGGGGGTGGGACCAGGGCAAGCACCAAGGCATGGTCCACTGGAAGAGCCTGCCGAAACCCCTTCCCCGGAGCCCATCAAGCAGGATATGTGAAGTAGGCAAGGGCCATTTGCTGGCCATTTTTAGGTGATGGTGCATTTCTTCATTCCTCACAAAGGGTGACAGCTCTCCAGCATGCACTCAGGAGGCGGGCAGACGCGGCAGGGGCTGGTTCCTCGCTGTTTCCAGACGCCTTGTGGAGCTAAGACTGAATGCGTTTCAGCATAGATGGCCACCACAAAATTGTACATTGGCTCCCAGCCGGCCTGGGCCGGGGCCAAGGCAGCAGAGGCTGTTCCCTCACTGTTTCCAGGATGGCTTCGCGGGCCACATGAAACCACATCGCGGGCCGCATCCGGCCCCTGGGCCTTATGTTTGACATGTCTGCTCTATATTGTTAGTGAAAGATTGGCCATAATACCTTAATTATCCTGGGAAGTCATTAATTTGGGAGAGTTGACCACATTAGAAAACTAGGGTGATCAATTTCAGGACAAAAGAAAATATTAAGCTATATTCTGAAGCTAGTTTATTTTGAACTTGATCACCACAAATTATAACACAAACAGAAGTTCTTTACCCACAAAGAAGGAATGATTTAGTGGTATGCGTGTTAAAGGATCACTACATATTTGTCTGAACATTTGAAACAATTGCAAGTATGAAACAGCATTTATTTTTTTTAAAAAATCAAGGCAGACAGTGTATTCTAGATATAAGCTAAAGTTCTTAAAACAATTTACTTGGATGAGACAGAAGTGCATTACACTGAAGTTTTTCAAGATTTGGAATAGCAATAAATTGTTTATATACTATAGAGAACAAAACAAAGGTCAGAAAGACTTGTGACAGTGTATATTTCTTGTTGGTTAATTATTCCTTCTCATGATTCTGACATCTTGAAGGTCACTTACAACAGCAGTTTAAATCAGCTGCCACTAACACTCAGTCATGAATATGGGCTAAACACAAATTCATATTTGGACTTACAACTTGCCGGAAAAATTGAGATATAAACTATATTGTACTTGCAGGTTTGGTCTCTATATACCCAACAGAGTTAACAGTGGCTTCATATGTCTCTCCTATATCAAAACTGTCATAAAATTATGCACATACTTTGGAGTCATATGACCTCAACAGTTTTCTATGAAATTTAATATTAGGGACAATATGAATACAACTTAACAATTCTTGCTGTAATCAGTACTCAGAATACCAGAACTAACATATTAATAACTGCATACAGATAATGACTATAAGCTATAGAAATGCAATTAATAAATGTAAATGATACTTACTTAAAATAGAAGAATATGCCAAGGGAAATCAGAAGTGAAACAATTGAAAGGCTATGGCCAATGATAGAGATATAGTATAGATTCAGAGCTGTCTGTAATAAAATGTCGAAAGAAGAATGAACACTTAAGTGCAGCTTATTAAGCATTAGCTCAAACATTATTTCAAAATAATTGCTGGAAATCAGAATATCAAATATAGTACCTGAGCAACATTTCAGCACGTTTTGTTGATGGGCGTGTGGGCTAGGGCTGGTGACAATTTCTAGAACTGTGATGCTACTCTAGAGGCTAGTCTGATTGTCTTCCAAAACCCAGCTCGTTTCTTTTTCTTTAAGCACGATCAAGTTGGCAGGACAAGAGTGGCCATTTTCACTGGTGGTCTCTCATTCTTAAGGCTGTCTGCTAAGAATTTCTGTGGAGTTTTAAACTTTTGTTGTGGGGTCCGATCTGAACAGCACACACTCTCATAGAGAGTTCCTGAAGATGGGCTCCCGCATGAGTCAAAAAACCTGGAAGAAAAAAACTCTGGTCCTGATGACCGAACCAGATTGGATCCCACAACATTATTTTGGGACATGTCTTCATTTATAGGAACTTTTGTTTGTTCTAATTTTCTGATTGCTGGGGCTTTTTTAAAAACTATTTAAAAAAACTACTTCCTTTTGTCACTCTTTTTAAGAATATATGATTGCTTTTTATTTAAAATATTTTATTGTAGGAACGTGCACAAAACAAGAATCTGAAAACAAAATCTGAGTTGGAGCCATCCCGCTCAAAATGTTCTACCAAGTTGGTTGTGAACTGACAGAAAAAATATCCAAGTACCCCAAGCATTTTGTTCTAGCCTCAAAACAAAGCACATGTTTTACTTCAACCTTGGCACTTCTCTTTATTTTATTGTATAATATTTGGGGAGATTTTGCCCTGATAGGTAGCATGAATTATCAGAAAGGATGTTACTCAGCTGAAGATCAAATGTTAAACCATATCAGATCTTAACTTAAACTTAACACCTTTAAAATATTAATGAGAGTTGATTTTTCTTAAATAATTATCCTGCCTTGCTTATTTGTAGTGTAGTCTCTCTGAAAACAATGAGCACTGTCTATGTTTGGTAAACTTTAAGCATTATTTTATTAAGCACAACAGAGATACCAACATGATCTCCCATGCTGTAGCTTAACAATATTTTACTTATTTTTCTACATTTTATTGACTGTACTGATTCATTCCATATGATCCCTTTCTAAAGGGGGCATACTTTCGGAGTATATACTAAGTATATAAATACATACTGATTATGTACATACATACTAAGCTCACTTTTTACAAGTGAGCATACTTCCAAGATGTTTTTATGAAAGCCATGTGTATTGTGGTATGGTTGTAAAACAGCATAAGAAGGCAAATATATACACTACAGATGACGTGGCAAGTGGTTAATTTTCCACCATATTTTCAGGAGGGGAAATAAACAAATGCTGCCACTAATGCAAAATAAGGTAACGTGATGCACATGGAAAATAACAGAAAATATTTGTGAAGTAAAGAGAACCACAGCTAGCTTGACTTCCCTTATCTCTATCAAATATTCCTGTGTCATTGTGGCACTCCCTGGTGGGTTAGGAATTTAATGTTCCACAGCCAAAAGGGCTAGTAACACTTTTGTGTCAGGAGTTATAGGGAGGTCATAGGAAGGGCACAGTTAAATTTAGGCAGACATATATATATATTGAAGAGGGGAGAGTCTAACTCAAAATAAATGTGTTAACACACAATTATGTGTGTATAGAAGACTAACTGCTACTGCTATTATTGTTGTTGTTAGTATAGGAGCTCAAGGCAGTGTGCAAAGCACTCTCTCCACATATTTTACCCTCACAACAACAACTCTGTGGGATAAGCGATGCTGAGAATGACTGGCCCAAAGACTCCCATGGAACATCTGTGGTTGATTTTGATGAAAGGAAGGATTTTCCCACACCTAGTCCATCACCTTCACCAACATACCACATAGGCTAGTGTGAAAATAACAGTAGAAGATGGGGGGGGGAGGGAGGGAGGGAGGGTTTTAAGACAGACAGTGTCTGTAGGAGTTAAAACCCTGTTGTATAATAACAGTATAATAGAAATAGTAATAGTATACTTGTAGAAATATTATAATATAGCATAGAAGTACAACTGAGTATAGAGTATAGTATAATAATAGTAATTGACTATCATATGTAGAACAGTGCATAGTATAAATTGTAATGGAAATAGAGTGTAGTACAAGACAACAGACAAACAAACAAATCACTAATACAGGTTTGCAGGTTTCATTTTTGCATCTTGGATATTTTTTCAAAATAGAACTTCTCCCAGCTCTTATAGGGAGATACAAAATCCAACTGCATAGGGCCCAGTGCTTTGCAGATCTTTTGACCCTGAGTCAATCAAATTGGGTATAATTTAAAAAGCACCCATATAGATTCAAAGGCCATGGTGCTAGTAGCTAAACCTGGTCATTGCAACCCTAAATAATCCACACATAGAGAGAAAAGACAGATAACTTGAAATAATTCCAAGTTGGATGTCACTTCTGGAAGTCAGTAGAATTGGCTGCCCAGATTCGCATACACCGAAAAAGCAGAGCAGAACTTGTACAGACGATTAGATTTCAAATCAGGCTGCATGACTGATTATCTTCTACACTGGTCTGCAGTCTGCCTTTGATTCTGCTGCTCAGTAGAACTTAAAAACACTACAGGATTAATTAGCTGGCATCAAAATATAGCCATGGGATGGTATCTAAGTGCCTGGAGTCACGCAGGATGTGTATTGCTTGTGCTAAATGGAAACTGTTATTTCCGCTGTTGCTGCTGCCACTGTTGCTCCATTTTTGCTTTTATAGAACAGGTTCTCAGATTTCTTGCACATTATTAGTCCTTCACAAATGAAGCTATTTTTCTCCTCTCTGGAATGAAGTCTCTAGGGTCAATCAAGGTCTGTATTAATAGATCTCATAAAATTTGTAAACCAACTGCACTGTAATTCAATAGCAACTTCCTGGGATTTAAGCTGTTAGGAATCTGAACATGCGTCTCAAGCTTCAAACAAATTTTGATCAGCCATGCTGTACTAAGGGCAGTTTGGCGAGTAGGCTGTCAATGGGGATTCAGAACAGCTTATTGTCAGGATTTTACATTTGAACATTGCCTACTGTGTTTATTTTCTTGTCTTCTATTCCTTCTTATATCAATTTTCACAAATTGCAGCAAATCCGTGCCATTGGCTCTATTCTCATAGTTCATCCAGAGTGAATGGATATCCAGACAAGAGAGATGGAAACGCATTCAACTGAACATCTAGTAAACTACACAAATTAACAAGTATTCACACCTCCCTATGATTGGATAACCTGTTTTTTTTTTTTTTTTACCATTTCCTACAATTTTTGCATGTGGTCAGTTCTGATCCAAATATAAAATCTCAGTACACTGAGTTTTTTAATCATGGAGAAAATAATTGCATGGCCCTGATTAGAGAAAAGACTTTGGCAAAATTTAAAACTAATTGCAAGCCTTTTGTAGGCTTTTAGCAAGAAACAGAAAAAAAATCAAATTATGACATGGATTTGATAAGTGGTAAAATCTATTGATTATTGGAAAAAAATGAAGCTATAGTTTGATGCTAAAGTAAAGATTGAATTTAAGTTTTAACTATGTTGTCTATAAAAGAAGTCAGAAGGTACTTAATTTTTCTTGTACACTGTTGTTTCTATAATCTTTATCTTTCTGTACTTTTATCTCTTCTTTTTCTTTTCTAGCTATTTCTGTTTGAGCAATTGTTTTTGTTAGTTTTTATCTTTATGTTTTATAGAAAAAATAATAAAGTTTGTTTGTTCTTTCATAAAAATTCCTAAAAATCTATGTGTAGTTGTCTTTTCTTCCATCTATTTATGATCCTGATAAAAGAGAATATTTGCAGGGTTGAAATGAAGGGTCCTTGGTGCTCTCTGAGCTTGCTTGTTTTCTTGAAGATATTTCATTACCCAAACTTGATAACATCATCAGTGCTATGATGTTACCAAGTTTGGGTAATGAAACATCTGCAAGAAAACAAACAAGCTCAGAGAATACCAAGGATTCCCCCCTTATTTATGATCTTCCTGCTTATTTGTGAAACCAATTCTACACACATGATATTTTTCCTGATTGCAAATGGTGAAAAATACATAGATATAAATTATTATACCTAATAAACAAGGAACTTAAAATGCTAACAATACATCCTATACATGTCTATTAATAAATAGCTCCTGCTGAATTCTATAGGATCTCTTCCAGGACAACCTATTCTAGGATGGCAATCTAAATTAATTAATCTTACTGAAATATAATGCAGTGGAAAGGGAGAAGAAATTAACATAGTGGATATTTCATAATTATTAGTCTTTTAAAATCCTTTATTCTTCTGAGAATGCAATTACCTGCAATTTATAATATATTCGATCAGTGCAAAGGCTATAGTTTGTCCAAATTCTGTTACTCTCAGGGTGCACAAACCAGTGTCCACTTTCTTCACAGATCTTCAAAACTTTTTCTTTTGGAGAAAAATTAATGAGAAAAAAAATAATTGCCACGTCTGTGTTCAAAAATAGTTAATATTTCAATAACTGCAACAACAAAAGGCACCAAAATGCATATATACAGTACATATGCTGACATCGCCATTATTCCCTTTTAGTGTAAGCAACATTATGCAGAGCATAGAAAATGAATAATAAATAATAAGGCAATTACATCTGAAGTATGAAATAAGAAAAAGAGAACACCATTTTCATTCTTCCACTTTTTCTCAAACATAGCATTTGGTAATTGCATATATATTTTTCTACATATGACCAAAAGACTTCAATGTATTTTTTTACACATTGGTCATTTGCTTTTGTATTCAATCCATGTTTATTTAGCATCCATTCATTTTTTATCTCATTTCTTCTTGTTTTACCATACATATTTCTTAAGAACCTAATTTCCATTCCCACTGCATTCAATTTACATTTATATTTCTTTTCACTCAATTATTATTTTCACATAGCAATTCCTTTATATACTGCCAATTTATTTCTTGCAAGAAATGGACATTACATGTTTTGTCAGTTTTCAGCAGTTTCAATGATCCACTTATCAGCAAAAATCTAATCTAGCGCACCAAGGGATATTTCCTGCACGCACAAATCCCATAAGAAATACTTAGTAATTTTCAATAAATATTTGCAGGTCTTAAAATATCTCCATTCATTTACTCATATTTGCTAAACATTCTGCCAAGGAGCACACATGTGATTTAGGTTAGTCATGTAGTTCTGGCCCAGTTAACTTGAACTGTTCCTTCCTTTTCCTATGTCACTGAGTTTTTTTATATATTAATTTCCAAATCCATACTCATCCTTCAATTTACAGTATTAATATTCCCTGAAAATCATCATACAAAATTTGTATCTACTTACAAATTCTTAACCAAAACTTCTTTAATATCTTCACAAACATTTTTCATACATGTATACACAAACCACCAAGAGGATATTATACTGTACTGTGATACTTGTATCACTCTCTGCTCAGTTATTAACCACTTGCAACGATTTCATTTATTTTTATACATTCTTTCCTTCCAAAATATAGTGGTCTTACTATATTCAGGAATCTGTTCAGAAGTCCATATTCCTACAAAACATTCCATAACTCACTTTATCATATACTTTCTCTAAGTCAATAAGCTTTTTCTCAGTTTTCAGCAGCTTCAGTGATCTGCTAAACTGCAAAAATATAATCTAGCCCACCAATTGGCAGAAAGCCTTCCTTAATTCTTCAATTTTTTCTTTTTATCACTTTCTGTATCTTTTCAGTCAAAATTCTATCAAACACATTCTCAGGAATGCTTTACCAATTAACCCTTCTTTAGTATTTCATCTTACACTTGCTAGCTAACCCCTATCTTGATGACTAGGATTTTCCAGGTAGTGATGTCAAATTGATTAGTCTGTATTTCCTGGGTCTCCTTTCCCCCTCCCCTTTTTAAAAGACTGATAGCTCTTCTCTAAGTTTTCAGACATTCGCTCTATACTCCACTGAGTCAGCAGTTCAGAGATTACATCAATCCTGCGGTGAGCCCCAGCATTTGAATTCATTCAAAGCAACCAGATGTTTTTTTAACACTTCCTTGCCTATTTCGATCTGTACTCCTCTTTCATCCTCTAAATCTATAAATTACTAAGCACTGTTCTTTAACCTTGTAGCAATAAAATACTCATTTAAACAGTTATGTACATTTCAATATACATAATTAAATGATGGATTATAATCAATTCAACTTCTTAAATGAAGTAGAAGCTCTCCTTAATAGCAAAGTAAGTTTGGTTAATTGACTGAAATACCCTTCTTAAATGTCTGATTTTGTAATCTAGCTCTGAACTTAGATGAATTGAGACAACAAGCATCAAGTTGCAAATCCATCTATAGATATTTGTTTTGCACATGCAAATTCCAAAATATTTCAAGAGATATGGAACAGTTTGACTGTCCTAATTATTTGAGACATCTTTGACCAAACGTCCACCTGGAACATAAATCTGATACTTCAAAATACAAAGAAGACATGGTCTCAACTCCATAATGTTGTTCTTGCATACAGAACATATGACCTATCACACTGGACACAGTCTAGTAGCCAAGCATGAAAACACTTCTGGAGTCTGATTAAATTCCTATCTTTTCTTCCTGCCTGAAACTATTATCTCCAGAACTTGACAAACATTTAATGGCCCACAGTATAAATTGTGTAAGCCTGACATGGTTACATCTGACACATAATACCAAATGCATTCGAAGTAATAAGAATCCTATATGAGAAAGAGTTTACTGTCAAATTATTTAAGGATTTGTTATAATGTTGAAGTTGTACAATTCTACCCAAATTCTCAGCACTCAGAAAATATCTTTACTGGCTGGCTTTAGTAAACTTAATTCTTAATCCTTACCTGAAGGGTCAAAGTCCTGAAAATAGTCTGGACAGTTTTGCATTGCAGTTTCTCCTGCCGCAGTAGTATCCCAGCATAACCAACCATCCCATGTTCTGTTGCAATGTGGACCTACAAAGTGAAGAGGCATCATTTGAAGCATTTCATCCTAATTTACTCAGGCTGGGTACATTTTTTCTACCACAGAAAAAGCAAATATTTGGATCCAATCCAAACTCCTTATGATTGACATATGCAGTATTTGCTTCTAAAGAGGCTTCCATACCAGCCTTGTTGTATAAACCCCTTCCTACCAAGAAAAAAAAAAACCCCACCATCCATTGTTCTTGCTCTGGGCTTTTACAATTTGTTGAATGTTTCCATTTTTCTATCTTTGCCACTTTGAGTTCTAAAACCATCATCTAAATCAGTGGTTCTTAACCTTTTTGAACGAATCGCCCCCTTGAGCCGATGAGGAAGTTGTCATCGCCCCCCTCCCCCAACATAACCTCTCAATCACAACATAGGAAATAATTTTTCAATTTATGCAAACACTTCTTTTGTTTTCTTTAAAATTGTCATCAGGACATATCAATGCAAATAATTTATTTCCAGTCTTTTCCCCAAATCTCCCATATTCTGGCTAATGGCGCGCTACTGTATGGGTAGAGGCTGCTGTGCAACGCACATGAAGATAAGCGATGCGTATTCACATATGTACAGCGTTCGGTACTGAAGCTGGCTGGAGGAACATTTGAAAACACAATTCAATCCACTAAGAGCGAGTGATCTGATGTTTTTGTACGACAGATATACAGCCATTCACTGTACGAAAAAGTCTCAAAAGTGTCCCCCAAACTTCTCGCTCCATTGCCCCCATATCATCCCCTTTTCGTTCCTTCGCCCCCGTGTCGCCCCTTTTCGTTCCATCGCCCCCCTGAAAAATGAAATCGCCCCCTGGGGGGCGATATCGCCCAGGTTAAGAACCACTGATCTAAATCTTGACTATTAAAAATACTGCGCAAGAGCAGAAAACAACCAAAAGACTTAAGGATGTTGTTTGCCATCATGCTCTCTTACCCTGTAACTGTTACTCTATAGTTTTGCAAGAAACCTGCCTGGGACACAATTGTTTTCCAATGAATTTCCCCAAAACAAAACTGAAGCAGGGGAAGGGAAGCAGATCCATCTCATCCTTCCAACCTCTGAAGGATCCTTTGCATGCTGAATTCAGTGTCTCACCTTCTGAACCTGTGCAGGTTTCTTAGCTGCAGATATCACTACGACATCCATCACTTTTGTTGGAAACTCATATCCAGGGCTAATCCTGCTCAGTGGGGGATAGGGAACCTTCTAAATATTTTTGCCTGAAACCTGACAGATTCCACCTGGTTACCAAAAATTGCATGAAAAACCAGCTGGGTGACATTGTGCCAGTCCCAGTCTCAGCCCAACTCATTTCATAGGGTTGTTATGGGGAAAATAGGAGGAAGACTAGATATGTTGGCTGCCTTGAGTTCTTTATAAACATAAAATAAATCATTCCCATACACTTCCTCCAATTCTGCCAAAGAGAAAAAGGTATAATAACTGTTTGTGGATCTCTAATAGTGATCCATTGCATCGAAATCCCATTTCTATATATGAAGATTTATAATTTTACTCTGAAATTGGAAGGTTTCTGAACTTGGCCAAGTAAAGATTTACTTAGACTGAGGTCAGAATGCTTCCATTTTTTTTTCTTTGCAGAACAAATTTTATACAGTATTTTTATTTTATTTTATTTTTTAAGTGCCCTAGGATTTATACTGATGTCATTTTTGAACTTTATTCTGGGGAGGTGATAGAAAGAGCTGTTGTTGTTGCTGTGATCATTTACACACATCTCCATCTGCTTAGGGCCTCCCTTTCTGCCTGCCTTAAATAACAGCTGTTGTGAAATGAGTTTGTTTAGGACAGTGGTTCTCAACCTGTGGGTCGGGACCCCATTTGGGGTCGAACGACCATTTCATGGGGGTCGTAAAACCATGCTGTCCACCATTTTTCCCCCTTTCCCTAGTTGTCCTACTCCCTCTTATTGGTGGCCACACCTACTTGGGGGTCACCACAACATGGGGAACTGTATTATGGGGTCACGGCATTAGAAAGGTTGAGAACCACTGGTTTAGGATGTCTCTTGGAATTAGGAAGTATGATAAGGGAGGCTACAAATGACTGGAGCCATTACTTTACTCGCCACACTTGCATAAGTCTCTTGCCTATTTTGCAAAAACAACCACCACCCTTTAATGCAAAGCTCCTAATTTTCACTGAAAAGTCCCCCACCTCATTTTTAAAAGACATTTCTTTTGCTAAACCAGTGAGAATGGTTTGAAAATATTCAAGGTTTGTTATACATTAATAATTTGACTTCTGCAGTGTAAATAAAGCTGTTCTTATGCAATACTGAATAAGATTTTAATTCAACTTAACCACTGTTTTCATATCAGATAAACTACAATTATTTATCATTGCCCTCCAAATCAACGTGTACCTTTAACTATCTCAGCAGCAAAATATTTTTCAACAAACATCTCCATTCATTAATTTATCTATAATTTATTTTGATTCCTTTTCACAACCCAAAGCCAGAGTTACATACAAAAGATAAAGCAACAAACCAAATAGTTGCATTTATTATGACATTCAAAATAAATTAAATAAACTCAAGATTCAATTAAATTAAGCAGTGCTAAATAAGAACACCCTGGAGTGCCTTATTGGAAGATTTATTGGAACATATAAAAGTTTCCAGTGTTGTCTATAAAGAACTTTAAAAGATCAAATCTGCTCTTTTAGACAGGAAAAAAGCAGAATTGAAAGCTCTTATACTTTCGTATTAAATTATTTCCAAGAGGGATGCAATAAGCACAGTGTTAGTAGGTAAAAACCATTTTTAAATTATATTTGCAAGAATTAACAGATGGTGTGCTTTAGTTTGCAAAAATAACTTGATTAAAATCAAAATATATTGATATACATTGTTTACCTTCATATTCTTCAGTAGTCTGCATAATTTTCTGATAACATTCAAACTGTGCTGTCATGATTTTATTATTAGTTACACCTAGTATAGTTTGATGGTCTGTATGGTTCTTAGTTTCCATTTCATTGGACCAATTCCCTTTTTTTTCATCTGGAACTGCTATAACAAAAGCCTGGACAGATAATGAGAAAAACTAGATTGTCACAGTTGCCAAAATAATTGCAAACATTGTACAGAGCATGAATTGGATTGGATGAATTAATGCAAATCATTTCAAAGTATGTAAAAAGGTGCAGATGAAGTAATTGGGCAGAAGAGCGTTAAATTGATACTATCTGAAAATAAATTCCTCTGAATGTGTCTTCAAAGGTACAATCTCTCTCTCTCTCTCTCTCTCTCTCTCTCTCTCTCTCTCTCTCTCTCTCTCTCTCTCAACAACAACAAAAAAATCTCTACGTATAACTGTCCAAAATGTGTTGAGTTTCAGGCACCTCAACCTAATTTTATAAATGACTCAAATCAGCCATGTTAGCATTAAAGGAGGCTTCGAAAGGATTGGGAGATTGGAGCCCGCTTTCACTGTGCTTCAAAAGCCTCTTTCTCCAAACTGTGTGATTTTTGACAAGGCAGCTTCTGAAGGATCATGAGAATAGAGGCTGCTTGGAGAGTGACATGAAGTGGTCTCAGTAAGAAGGCCACACTTCACATAGTCTAGGCATGCCTGTCAGCAACTGGAGAAAAATGGTGAAGAGAGGTACCTTGTAGGCAGTGAGTTAGAATAGAATAGAGCTGGAAGGGACCTTGAAGGTCTTCTAGTCCAAACCCCTGCTCAAGCAGGAGGACCTATAACATCCCAGACAAGTGACTGTCTAGCCTCTTCTTAAAAATATCCAGTGATGGAGCATCCGTGATTTCTGGGGGCAACCTGTTCCACTGGTTAATTGTCCTCACTGTCAGGAAGTTTCTCCTTAATTCCAGGTTGCTTCTCTCTTTGATCAGTTTCCAACTGTTGTTTCTTGTCCTGCCCTCTGGTGCTTTGGTGAATAATTTGACCCCCCTCTTCTTGGTGGCACCCCCTCAAATACTGGAATACTGCTATCATGTCTCCTCTATTTCTTCTTTTCTTTAGACTAACCAAACCCATGTCCTGCAGCTGTTCTTTGTATGTTTTAGTTTCTAGGCCTTTGATCATCTTAGTTGCTCTTCTCTGAGTTTTTCCCAAACTCTCAATATCTTTTCTATGATATGGTGACCAAAATTGGCTGCAGTATTCCAGGTGTGGTCTTACTAGAGTTTTATAAAGCGGTACTAATATCTCACGTGATCTTGATTCTATGCCTCTGTTTATTCAACCCAGGATTGTATTAGTTTTTTTGGCTGCTGGTGCACACTGCTGGCTCATAGTCAAGTGATCATCCACTAGGACTCCAAGGTCCCTCTCACAGTTATTGTTTTTAAGCCAGGTCTCACCCAATCTGTACTTGTACCTTTGATTTTTCCTGCCTAAACGTAAAACTTTGCTTTTCTCCACATTGAAACTCATTTTGTTGGATAGGGCCCATTGTCAAGTTTGTCAATGTCTTTTTGGATCCTGAGTTTGTCTTCTGGGGTGTTGGCTACTTCTGTCAGTTTGGTGTCATCTGCAAATTTGATGAGTTCCCCTTCAATTCCCTCATCTAAGTCATTGATGAAGATATTGAAAAGTACTGGGCTTAGGATGGAACCTTGTGGTACCCCACTGCTTACTTCTCTCCATATGGATATAGTGCCATTGAGGACAGCTACAGATCCATCTGGTGGTGATGTTGTCTATTTTACCTTTTTCTAGCTTACCAAGGGGTAGGTTGTGGTCTACTTTATCAAATGCCTTACTGAAATCTAAGTATATTATGTTCACAGTATTTTGCTGGTCTATTAATTTAGTCACTTTGTCGAAGAATAAAATAAGATTGGTTTGGCATGATTTGTTTTTAACAAATCTGTGCTGGCTACTGGTTATAACTTTGTTTGCTTCTAGTTGTTCGCAGATCTGTTTTTTTATTTTATTTTCTAGGGTCTTCCCAGGTATTCATGTTAAACTGATTGGTCTGTAGTTTCCTGGGTCCGTTTTTCCCCCTTTCTTGAAGATGGGAACCACATCAGCCCTTTTCCAATCCTCAGGTACTTCCCCGGTGCTCCAAGATTTTTGAAAGATGTGGTGCAATGGTTCTAAGATAACATCTGCCAGCTCCTTCAGAACACTGGGATGTAATCTGTTGGGTCCTGGTGATTTATATTCATTGAGGTCAAATAGGTGTTCTCTTACCATTTTCTTGTTTATTTTAATTTTTGTTTCTAATTTGTCTTTTGCAGTGTTTTTTTTGGGGGGAGGGGGGTATGTTGGGCTATGGTTTCTTTTTGTGTGAAGACTGATGTAAAATATGAGTTAAGCAGTTTTTCTGGACTGAGGCAGCTTTTCTTGTGCTAGTGGGCCAGGTAGATGGTGAGTTTTCCATGGATTGTATAAAGCCTGTGCTGGGTCCCAAGGCATTTTGCAGTCCTTACCCGTAACTTTGTCCACTTATTGATCCACGGTACTGCTTAATGACCACATTCAGGACTGCTGAAATCTTGATTGTTGAGTGAAATAGTCATGTGACATCTTGCTCAATGACCGCTTCACTCAGCAACCAATATTCCAGTCCCAATTGTGGATTTTAAGTTGACAGCTACAGAGCCTCTATGATTGATATGTACACTCTTTTGCAGTGTATTTAATAATTGCAACCTTTTAAAATAAAGTAACAACAATTTATGTTCTTTTCACCTCTGTGTTCCACTTGATCTGTAAATCATCCTACTGACATCTGCTGTTTTAAGATCCCCTCTGCACCACTATTCTGATGTTATTATTTTGCCATTCAATGTGGTTTTTTGCTACCCCTTCAAAAGTCTTACAAGGTTCAGAAAGGAGGTTATGATACCTTTTGACAAACTATAACACTCCAATTCTTGTCTTGGATGACATCCTGACTGGAGAAGTGTCCCAATGAACAATGAATATCTTGACTTTGACTATCTGTGGCAGAGGAATGTAGACATTATTTTGCATTTTGCAAATTTAGCATAAATCTTATTATTTGTTAATATAACTTTAGTAAAAGTATTATTTCATACTATTTATATGTGTCTGCTTATCTCCAACTAAGATTCCCAACTGAGGAGCAGTTAGAAGGAAAAACTGTCCTTATTTTCTGCAAAGATTTTCTATTGCATTTGTTTCCATCTTTCCTTCTTCCAAACAAACTGCTATTCATTGTAAGAAAAGACTCAGGGAGTTTAAATGCCACAGATTGCCTACCACATGTGCCATATGATTGTGATTTACAATCTTCCTTGCTGGCATCTGAAAAGCAAAGTCAATGGGAAACTGGCAAAGTCAGAAGTCATAGTTACTGAGGTCCTCACTTAATGATCCACATGATTCTTGTTTAACAATGGTAACTGGAAGTGCTATTGCCAAATGGTATGGTCACATGTCATTCTTTATAATCACATTGCTTAATGATGGAAATTCCGCACTCAATTGCCATTATTAAGTGAGGACTACGTGTACTGGTAGAGTTCATAAATCATAAGCCATTGTATGATTTATCTGGTTTTCGTTTAGCATGAATTGTCAAAACAGCCATTGTGGTTTGTAACCCATAATTAATGGCACAGTATGTCATGGAAACTAAGTCAATTGTGGATTATTTAATAAAACATGGTTAAAATGTGGAATAACATGATGCCTGTATTATGGGGCTGTTGGAATGCAAGATAAGCAAATGGAAACATGCATGTTATCATCATCTTCATCACAACATAATGTTGTGTGTCAAATGTTATGTAATATAGCTGGAACCTTTAAAGGATAACATGATTGCATATGTGCTCTCAAGAACGACTCTAAGAATCGTTAATGTTTGTTAATATTACAGACATTGCTGATCTATAACATGACTCATTAAATTAGAATTCTACAGTCATGCTAAGCTAGAACCCTTAAAATTCTCATCCAGAAGTCTTTGAGTGTTATCCCATCTGGAAGCCACTAGATCAGTGGTTCTCAACCTTTCTAATGCCGCGACCCCATAATATAGTTCCCCATGTTGTGGTGATCCCCAACCACTTATGCATCACCGGGTGCCAGGGGCGTGGCCAAAGAAAAGGGGGAAAAAATGGCGGACAGCCTTGTTTGGCGACCGTGAAATGGTTGTTCGACCCCAAATGGGGTCCCAACCCACAGGTTGAGAACCACTGCACTAGATTGAGAAAGGCTGATACCAAGTAGATCTCCAAAATTGACTTCTTTCAAGCAGAAGCCTTCCTCAAGAAACCAAAACTAAGACAATCCACACAAAGAACATGTGCTATACAACATAATTTATGTTGTGTTTCATATTCTGATCAAAAGTCTGGGTGCCATGGTGGCACAATGCAGTACTGCAGGCTAATGCATGGCTCACTGCCAGGAGTTTGATCCTGACTGGCTCAAGGTTGACTCAGCCTTCCATCATTCCGAGGCCAGTAAAATGAGGAGCAAGATTGTTGGGGGGCAATATGCTGACTCTGTAAACTGCTTAGAGAGTGCTGTAAAGCACTGTGAAGCGGTATACTATAATAATAATAATAATAATAATAATAATAGTAATAGTAATAATAATAATAATTTTTTTTCAATCACTGTGTATCTGCGATGGGTAGACACCTTTTCTTCCAGTAGTTCTGCAGCTGCAGACCCTGGTTGCTCAGCCAACAGTCCTGAGTCCTGTAACCCATTTTTCACCAGATATCCAGGAACTCCAATATCTAGCGCGGACCTTGTTAACCCAGGCCACATCCGAGCCAGTATGGCATTCTGAAATTTACGTCTCACCATAATTTTTATGGTAGAGACACTCTTTGTCTGACTCCTCAGATGAGACTGTCCAGTATGGTTGAACCTCTGGCATAGCTCTCATCTTCCTCAGAGTACACAAGCTCCACAACCACGTCAAGGTAGTGCCTCACTGGGGGTGTAGGACACCAACCAAACTGGCCTACAAGAAAGACCAAATGAAGAACAGAATAGAGGCATGGGAAGACAAAGCACTACATGGCCAATACATTAAAAAAATAGCTGGGAAAGCAGATAATAATAAAACCTGGCAATGGCTAAGAGCAGGAAAATTGAAGAAAGAGACCGAGGGACTAATTCTGGCTGCACAAGACCAAGCCTTAAGGACAAATGCATATAAAGTCAAAATTGAGAAGACAGCAACAGACAGTAAGTGCCGCCTATGCAAAGAAGCTGAAGAAACAGTGGACCACTTGGTAAGCTGTTGCAAGAAGATTGCACAGACTGACTACAAGCAGCGGCATGACGAAGTAGCAACAATGGTGCATTGGAAGATCTGCAAAAAATATCATTTGCCTGTAAGCAAAAACTGGTGGGATCATAAAATAGAGAAAGTCATAGAAAATGATAAAATTAAACTGCTCTGGGACATCAGAATTCAAACAGACAAGCACCTGCAACATAACACCCCAGACTTAACAATTGTCGATAAGAAAGACAAAAAAGTCTGGATAGTGGACGTGGCAGTGCCTGGAGATAGCAGAATAGAAGAGAAAGAACTGGAGAAGATAACAAAATACAAAGACCTACAAATAGAAATAGAAAGACTGTGGCAAAAGCAAGCAAGGGTAGTACCAATAGTCATAGGCTCCTTGGGTGCAATCCCAAAACAACTGGAGCACCACTTGAACACCATTGGCATTGACAAATTCGCTATTAGTCAATTGCAAAAGGCGGCCTTACTAGGAACTGCTTCCATCCTGCAACGATATCTGTAATACCATCAAACATCCACATCTGCCTATCCCAGGTCCTGGGTAAGGACTCGATAGGTAGACAAAATGCCAAATCCAGTCTGAACATCTGGCTGACTGTGCGATGATCCATAATAATAATAATAAAGTTGGAAGGGACCTTGGAGGTCATCAAGTCCAACCCCCTGCTCAGGCAGGAACCCTACACCATTTCAGACAAATGGCTGTCCAGTCTCTTCTTAAAAGCTTCCAGTGTTGGAGCATTTACTGCTTCTGGAGGCAGGCTGTTCCATTGGTTAATTGTTCTAACTGTTAGGAAGTTCTGTTGCTACCTTGGATCTCTCCAGTTATCTCCTGCTTTAGGTTTATAGCTAAGGCGGTTAACCAAAGGATCCATTATATTGAACAAATTGGTGTATCCTATATAAAGGTAATGTATACACCTAAATGTTGATACTTTGTATTTTACACATACATATTTTATTACTGTATTTTTTTGCATCTATTTTACCCTGGAATATTTTATTTTTGTTTTATATTTGATATCATAATAACAATGGCAACAGCACTTAGACTTACATACCGTTTCACAGTGCTTTACAGCCCTCTCTAAGTGGTTTACAGAGTCAGCATATTGCCTCCAATAATCTGGATGCTCATTTTACCAACCTTGGAAAGATGGAAGGCTGAGTCAACCCCGAACCAGTCAGAATTGAATTAGAATCAAACTCCTGCATACTAACCATTGCACCCCTACTAATCAATGAATAAACTATCTATTCAGCTACTTAGCTAACAACAAGCAAGATTTAAGAGCAATTTCCATTCATGTATACACACTATTATATAAACATCTGCAGATGTGCATGTAGAGGAAACAGACTCACCAATGTCATAGCTAAGAGAAGCAGCAGCTGTACAGTCCAACTGGTTTCCATCACTAAATGTAGCTTTACAATTTAGCAAAAAACTGTAGCTGAAAAAAACAAAACAAAATATAAACATCTTAAAACTTTATGGTTATGATCTTAAACTCATTCACCGGGGAAATACCCCACAGCACGTAAACTGGCTTAACCCTCAGTAGATATATATAACATTATGGTATGACTCAGCTTTCAGCAGGAGGGCTGAAGTTTGCACTTAACTTTTCCACTTCAGCCAGTGAAACTTAAAAGCATCCAACCTTGGCCCAGTTGTATCCTGAGTGTTTATTAAACAGAATTAAAATAACAGTAGCAAACTGCAGAAGACACATCATTTTGTCTTAACCCTCAGGGAAAATAAATCAACTGAAAAAGACTGGCCAATTTGTCTGTGTTGTTTCCTTTTGTTTGGGAAGCTTGGGAAAAAATGGAAATAAGAAAGATGGGTCAATAAAGGGGAGGCCTCAATGCTCCTCTAATATGGCCTCTAAAATTATAATGTCAGAATATTCCAATATGGCAACTCAGTTCTAGTTTCAATCATCATTTCTTACACTCACTCCCACTACTGTTGGCTATGGGAATTTGCAGGAATTTGTATCCACAAAGTCATCATATTAAACTTACTTCAGTTACCACAACAAATTAAAAAGATGAAGTCACACACAGAAAGGGTGAAAAAAAAAAGACAGAAGAGAACAATTTTTGAAACTGCTACATAATGTATCCCCTAGGAGTGTTTCTTATTGTTTCCTTTATTCATGATAAACAATATGAAATAAGAAAGCGGTTCAGGGAAATTCTATCAATAGATGCCCAACTCCCTTTAAATTTTTCTTAAAGCCTAGGAAACAAGGATAATCCAACCTACTATAACAACTTTATTCATGTTTTGTTAGCTAGTATTTTGTTCTGCTTCCAACTATCTACCCTATAGATAACTCTATATTCATTAATATAATACTTCAAAAACAATTAAGGCAATAATTAAATATAATTAACAATGAACAAAGAAAAAATAGTGACTCAATTCTATCAGTTAAATGATAGTGGCAATAATCTCCCTTTAATTGGATAACAAGTTGTTATTCTCCACCACATTCATTCTTCTACTTTTAATAAATTGCAACAGCTCCCAACCTTTTCTATACCTACACCCCTAGATATATTCTGATATATTCTCGCACCCCTTAAAAAAGTTCTAAATAGCGACAATGAATTATGCATATACACTATAATTTTGAAAACCCAAGTTTTCGCACCCCCTGAAATATCATCTCGCAAACCCAATTGGGAACACCTGGCCTACAGTATTTCTTCTCATTCACGTCTCCCTTGTTTGTCTTTACAGTCTATATAACACATCTTCATAAAATCACTTTTACCCCTCCTACTTTCCTATTTATTCTTTCCCAGTATTCTACAGTATTACCATTTCCCAGATTCAACCACTTATAACTAATATGACGATCTCCAGAAACGTTGATTTTCCCCATTCATTTGAACAGAATTCTCTCCTCTGCTACTATGGCTTTGATGTTTTCTGTCTATGATCTAAAGTAAAATGACTTCATTTGACTCAGCACATTATACATTTTATCTTTTATGGTTAAAATTTTAAATGAATATGAGATTTCCATGAAGGTTTCTTTTGTCTTGCTTATATCAGGTACTGGAAAAACTAAATGTATTTTTGTATTAAACAGATTTTACATAGATGGCTGTGTACCAAAGAAACTTGGGGTGGCAAAGATAAAAATAAAAACGAATTATAACAACAGTGATGATAGAGCTGTTTTCCTGTGTTCATTTATTTGTATCCTAGAACTATATGACTGATCCTTGAAAGAATACCAGTCAGGATACAACCCTTAGTAAGATTCACTTCTTTCATTTGATCACTCAAAATAGGAATAATACCAACAACAATATTGTGCTTTTTATTAGCATAAAACTTATATTTTTATATGCCACATTGGTAACTGGTAATACAAAAATACCCCTGTAGAAAGCTAAATACTTACATCTATGTGTCTATGTTTAGACACACGTAACATTTTCTCATGTATTCCATTAATCTTCAGATTTTTTTTTCTCCAACAGTCATGACCTGGATGATATTTATGTCAATAAACAAACAGATGACTCCCTGGATACTCTTTCTGACAATTTTTTTCCCCAAATAGACAAGTTAATTCATACCAGACTAGAGATGAAGTAATTTTTGTATGGTTTGGTAAACATCCTATGCATGTTTACTTTATCTTCCCAATAATGGTACGACAATAATAATTTTATAGTCTAATGTCCTTAACCACCTATCACAAAAGTCTGACCTTTTAATAAAATGGATTTATATGACTCTAAAACCAATTATACGCCTATTATAGAATCATGACAAGAAACCTGAGTTATGTTTATTGGAAAAATGTTATTGTAAAATACTTGGATATTTTTTTTATTGGGTTCAATCAAAATTGGGTTCAATTTTTTCAAAGCTAGCAAATTGCTATGGCTATTCAAAGCATTAGAAAACATTTCATTATCTCAGTTCCATTCCATTTAAATATACTTTGAAACTTATACATGTTCAGTAGAGTTTTCTTTTACTTCTTGATCTGAGTTGGGAGTTCTCAGAAATCCTGGCAGCTCAAAACAATAAAACCAATAAATAAAACAATCATAGTAAAAACAGAGAAACAATCAAACAAAACCCTTGTACCCTAATCATCCTCAAGATGCCCACCACAAGCTCAGCTGCTCTCCTTTCATGATATCTACGTATACAATCCAGCGCTATTCACAATCCTTTGAGATTTCTCCATTTCTCTGAAGAACCTGCTGTGCTTTTGTTGGCTGACTATCTGAAAATACAATCTTAAATATTGGCTAAATGCAAATAGTAGCAGAACTCCAGAAAAAAACCCCCCTTTCTCTTCAGTTCTGACTCTATAAATCAACTGAAAGGATGTTATGAACAAAAGAAAAAAAATGGGATATAATAGTAGACTGCCCTGCTACCAATTGGTGATAATGCAGATATCACCTATGGAAATATCTCACATCTGTAATACAATTTAGGTGGAGGTGTGCAAAGGCTCTCTTGTCAACTGCTCTTCAAGTTACACATCACTCCTGACTGGAGAGGAGGAAGTATTCAGGAGAACTAAGGGGAATAGAAAGGGCATCAAGGAGTAATAGTTTTAGTCAATAAGCCCATATAAAATCATTATTTTGCAAGTGGCACTAGTTCCAGTAGGTTTCTGGCTGTAATTCAACCTGCTGGTTACTACCTTCATGGCACAGACTTGTAGAACTGCCTATTTCTGATTGTTTCTGTCTGTCTCAGACCCAATGGGATGGGCATGCTTGGAGTATCTCCTATTAAATATGTTATCTAGCAGGATTCAGTCGTGTGCCTTCTATGTCATAGTGTCTGCCCTTTGCAACAGCGTACTGCCTGAGATTTGTTTTGTTTTTTGGTTACTAACTGACATCATTTACTAGTATGCTAAATACATCCTGTGGCAGCGATTCCTATAGTGGGATTTTGTTCAGTGTGATAATATATTGAAGTTAAAGCTGCCTCCAGCTCAGTGGTGGGATTCAAAGATGTGAACAACCAGTTCTCTGTGTGGATGCTGCTTAATAATAATAATAATAATAATGATGATGATGATGATGATGATGATGTTGGAAGGGACCTTGGAGGTCATCGAGTTCAACCCCCTGCTCAAGTAGGAAACCCTACACTATTTCAGACAAATAACTATTCAGTCTCTTCTTTAAAATTTCCAATGTTGGAGCATTCACCGCTTCTGGAGGCAGATTGTTCCATTGGTTAATTGTTCTAATTGTCAGGAAGTTTCTCCTTAGTTCTAGGTTGCTTCTCTCCTTGATTAGTTTCCATCCATTGCTTCTTGTCCTGCCTTCAGGCACCTTGGAAAATAGCTTCATTCCCTCTTCTTTGTGGCAGCCCCTGACATATTGGAACACTGTTATCATGTCCCCCCTCGTCTTTCTCTTCGTTAAACTAGACATACCTAATTCCAGCAACCATTCCTTATATGTTTTAGCCTCCAGTCCCCTAATCATCTTTGTTGCTCTTCTCTGTACTCTTTTTAGAGTCTCAGCATTTTTTTTGGTGGTGACAAAAACTGGATGCAGTATTCCAAGTGTGGCCTTACCAAGGCACTGTAAAGTGGTATTATTACTTCACGTGATCTTGATTCTATCCCTCTGTTAATGCAGCTGAGCACTGTGTTGGCTTTTTTGGTAGCTGCTTCCGGAAGTCCATTCTGGGTCTGGGCAACAAATAATTAGCTACAGGTTCTGCCGAAGTGGTGCAAACCGGCTGAATCCCACCACTGCTTCAGGTGATGAGAATACTTCCAAAATACTAGGGCATGAGGAAATGCAATAAAAGTAGGGAAGCACTGTAGAAACAGTATTACAAGTAGACAATGATGAAATAGCTGGCAAAGGCAGAGATGATGGACAGCACAATAGACTAATTCTCTCCTCTCTGATTGGCCATCAAAGGATGAACAACATATGCTTTTGATACTAAGTACAGTTTGTTATGTCCAAACTAAGGCATAACAGCAGACTGTGGTTAGCTGGAAATTAGTAATAGCACCCTCCTATTAACATTTATCATGTGAATGAATTATACAATTTGAATTTGCAATTTGATGAGTCAATAGATTTCAAATTTGTGATTCAAAGTCTTTAAACCTACAGTTTGTATAATAAAATCAAAGATTCAAGTTAAAAGGGGCGTTGTCTTACCTGAACGCCTTTTCTCAGCATGGAGATATAGAATCCACCAATGGGTTAACTCTGTCTTCCTGCCCATTAGACCGGGTCAGCCAACTTGTCACGCCCATCCTGGGGTAGCCACTCCCCATTCTTGACGAAGGCGAAGCAGCTGACTACAAATTGACGTGATGGCTCCCGGTTCCCTAATATGATCTTAATGATTTTAAGGGTGGGAGTGGATTCTACGTCTCCATGTTGAGAAAAGGCCCTTCTCCAGCACTGGAGACGT